GGAGGGTGGAACACAGAAGTGGAAATGTTCTTTTAACTCGATTTCACTACTGAGCTGCCCCTTTTTTTCTTTTTCTAGTCAGATATGTATAGCTTGGGTGTGATCCTGCTAGAGCTCTTTCAGCCATTTGGAACAGAAATGGAGCGAGCAGAAGTTCTAACAGGTTTAAGAACTGGTCATTTGCCGGAATCCCTCAGTAAAAGGTGTCCAGTGCAAGCCAAGTATATCCAGCACTTAACAAGAAGGAACTCATCACAGAGACCATCTGCTCTTCAGCTGCTGCAGAGCGAACTTTTCCAAAATCCTGGAAATGTATGTGCTGTTTTTTTCTTGGTCCTAGAGTGAAGGTGGTTTTTATTTCCTCTTTTGGGGAAGGAAGGGGTGGGTGGTGCCCCTGGAGGATGGGGCTGGAAGAGCCAGATGATGGTTCTGGAGTTGGGGGAGGCCTGTTTGTTCTCGTCCACTTCCTGGCACTCAGCTGCAGAGGATGCTCGCAGGACTCACTCCCCTTGGGGTAGCAGCTCTGGCCTCAGCAGGCACAGGAGGGATCTTCTTGTGTTCACAAAGAGGAGCAGAGGGCTGGGGGCCAACCGCAGGGTAGGAAAGCTTCCTGAGGCCAGGTGGGTGTGACGGCTTCCCAGAAAGGCCTAAGGGGCCCACAGGGAATGCTCCTTCTGATGGCTGGGCCTTTAAATGTCCATGTCAAACTGACTCTTAACCACCTGCCTGCTGTTCTGGGCTGTTTGGGTCTCTGTCGGGGGCTCATCACTGGCAGGGCTGGTGACACCAGAAGTGGTGGGCTGGTCCCTCAAGGATGTTTTGGTCACTGGTGAGTTTAGCACTCTTTTTCGAGAATTTCAGATTGTAGATGATCCTGGCACCTCCCCGGGTAGTGCTCAAGAGCATGCCCCAGGGGGGCTGCCACAGTCCCCGCAGAGTACACAGCCACTGCCAACCACCTGGGAGAGGCAGGGCTGGCCTTGCTTGGGGGTCTGGCTACAGCTGCTGCCCTGGACATGGTCTCTATCCATGATTTTTTTTTGTTGTTTGTTTTTAATGCTGAGGAAAATATGAAGCTTAAAATAGAATTTGTTTAAATTGTGAATCCTGGCCAGGCGGGGTGGCTTGGGCCTGTAATTCCAGCACTTTGGGAGGCTGAGGTGGGAGGATCACTTGAGGTCAGGAGTTCGAGGCCAGTCTGGCTAACATGGTGAAACCCCATGTCTACTAAAAGTACAAAAATTAGCTGGGTGTAGTGGTGCATACCTGTAATCCCAGCTCCTGGGGCGGCTGAGGCAGTAGAATTGCTTGAACCCAGGGGGTGGAGGTTGCAGTGAGCTGAGATCACACCACTGCACTCCACTGGTGACAGTGAGACTCCGACTCAAAATAAATAGTGACTCTTGTTTCAGTGAATAGTTGAGCTTAGACTCCTATTGGTGCAAACAAAATATTTAAACCCATTCTCAGAGTTCCCTCACTGTATCAAGTACTAGGTTGAGTATCAGTAGCACACATATACTCATTGTCCACGTAAGCAGGTTGACTCCCTGCTACCTGTCTACTCTAAGAGTTATCAGCTTCAGTTTCTAGCCTCATCTTGCTAAGTCAGTGAAAGGGTTTTGTTTTGCTCTTTCTTCCAACTATGATATATCTCTTATTGTGAATGTACCTACAAGTGTCTGGGTGCGGTGGCTCACAACTGTAATCCCAACACTTTGGGAGGCCGAGGTGGGCAGACACGAGGTCAGGAGATTGAGACGATCCTGGCCAACATGGTGAAACCCCATCTCCACTAAACATACAAAAAATTAGCCGGGTGCAGTGGCACGTGCCTGTAATCCCAGCTACTCGGGAGGCTGAGGCAGGAGAATCGCTTGAACCTGGGAGGTGGAGGTTGCAGTGAGCTGAGATAGCGCCATTGCAGTCCAGCCTAGGTGACACAGTGAGAGACTCCATCTCAAAAAAAAAAGGAAAGTACCTAATAGTAAAAAGAGCTGCATACTGAAGGGTAAAAGGCAGCAGTAATTCTAATGGTGAGTTGGCGATGTAACCATGATAGCAGAGACTGCCTTAGCCAATGTAAGGGCTTTCAGCTTTCAACAGTGTGGTTCTGGCTTTCAGTCCTGCAATGTGGTATTGCCCCAGAGCCACCCCATTCCCTTTCTCCTTCCTGACCTGTCCTTAGAGTGCCATGTAGTCTCCCAGCACATAACGGAGACCACAGGTGATTCCATCCATTCTGTTCCTCTAGAAACTTTCTAAGATTTAATAAAAGCCTAATTCAAGATACACTCCGATTCTTTAGTGCTTTGCTACTCAAAGTACCGTCCTCAGACATGCTACACTGGCATGACCTGGGAGCTCTGCCCCCAACATAGTGAGAAAATCTGTATTTCCACAAGATTTCCCAAGTGACTGACATTCACAGTGTTTGAGCAGCATTGCATGAACGCAGCGGTTCTCAAAGTGTTGTTTCCAGAACAGCAGCATAAAATCACCTGGGAATGTCATAGAATTCTCAGACCCTTCAGTCCCCTGACCTATTAAAAAAGAGAAATTTAGGGAGGAGATGGGGCTGCATCCTGTACTGTAATGAAACTTTAAAGTGATTCTGATGTATACTAGTTGGGGAACCACTTGTAGTGATTGTTTAAAATAATCAGATGGTTGATTTATCTTCTATTTAAGGCTTATTGTCAAGCAAAACTGAATTTTGTTAAATGGTAAAAACAGGTAGGTGTGGTACTTTTCTTTTTGAAAGCGTTTGAAAATAACAGATGTGGTTTATCTTTTTTTTTTTGAGATGGAGTCTCCCTGTGTCACCCGGGCTGGAGTACAGTGGCGTAATCTTGGCTCACTGTAACCTCCACCTTCTGTGTTCAGGTGATTCTCCTGCCTCAGCATCTCTAGTAGCTGGGATTACAGGTGCTCACCACAACACCTGGCTACTTTTTTTTTTTTTTTGAGACAGAGTCTTGCTGTCTTCAGGCACTAGGCTGGAGTGCAGTGGTGTGATCTCGGCTCACTGCAACCTCCACCTCCCAGGT